GACGAAATTAAGAAATTGTCTAGATCAAAACTTAGATACTGCAATGCGATGTGCTCTTGCTAAACATGTTCCATGTTCTGAACTTATGATTGGAAAGAAACAGCAGCAAATATAAAGGGGACTCGAAAGTTTTGACGTTGACCGACATATCAGATAGTAATCATAAATTTGACTATTACATTTTTTCAAATACTCTCCCTGATAATCTAAACATCTTTTCATTTTGGTAAACCAATTATCAAAACATTTTCTCCACTCTTCTTTGGCTATGTCTCCGATCGCTTGGAAAAGTGCTCCTCTCAACTCCTTATTAGTCGAAAATCTCCTCCCACGTAATTGACCTTTGAGTCTAGGGAACAACCAGAAGTCACAAGGGGCTAAATCAGGACTGTAGGGTGGGTGAGGCGATGTTTTGAGTCCAGAAATTTCCAAAACTCACGAGTTCCGATTGCCGTATGCGATGATGCATTATCATGATGAAGAAGAATTCCTCTAATGCCTGTCTTCTCCCGCTGTGACTCAATTGCTGTGATGACTTTGGGTAGGCACACTGTAGTGTGCAGTCGGCAGTAACAGTCTTTCTATCCTCGAGAGCAACAGCGACGACAAACCCACTAGATCTGAAAAAATCGCCCACATTTGTTTCCCAACAGATCGAGCCCTTCGCACTTTGGTTGAAGGTGGGGCATCTTCTTCAACCCACTCCTTTGTCATTCGCTTTGTTTCTGGCTCATAATGGTATATCCCTGTCTCACCACCTGTAAGGATCTCAGAAATAGCTCTTGAACTTCCATTAGCAAACTTTCTGGGTATAATTTTGCAAAAGTCTATGCAGGATATTTTTTGCTGTAAGTTCAAAGAATGGGGGCCATCAGCCACACAACTTCCTGACGCAAAACTCTTTGTGCAAAATGATATTAATTGTCCCCGATGATAACTCGGTTTCATACTCTAACTGAGCGTACGTAATATGAGGAGCTTTAGTAATTAGATATAGCATTTAGTTAACATTTTCTTCATTATGTGAAATATTCGGTCTTCCTGAACAAGGGGCATCTTCAAGAACAAAGTTTCCGTGAATAAATTCCCTGTACCATCGTTCAACTGTACTTTGAGAAGGAATTAGATCCGGGAAATGTTGCTGTAAAGATTCATAGATTTCTACTCTTGTCTTCTGTAGTTTGAATAAAATCGAAATCATTGCTCGAAAATCACGTTTTGTGAGATCTAATTGAGATTGAGATATTTTAGAAACCATGGCCATGTATGCTAAAATTATCTAATTTATGAAAGTAGAAGAGATAAATGAATCAAAGTTTCAAAGTAGAGTAATAAAATATGTATGGAAAGATGGATGCGGAAAAATATCCGACAGATTAATGGTTTCATATCAAACTGCAAAACATTTCGAGTGCCCCTCGAAAGCCACTAAGAAATTAGTTTTTTTATAATCCTTTAGTAATTATGATACTGTGTGGACATTATATAATAGTGAATAGGCAGAGGGTTCCTAGATAGGATAAAAATTTCGCAAGGTTCCGTGCATCTAAAATGGTTGAGAAGCACTGACCTAAACAAATCTGATGTTGTGAATTCACTCCTAAATATCTTAATACAAAAGTGGGAAAATCGGATTCAGCATATCGATATATTTAGTAAAGTATTATTGAATTCTATTTACTCCCTTGATAAGCACGATATATACATAGTTATGCGAATATTTTAAATTCGCACACCGTAAATCCTTACCTTGACAACGGACAAATAAACAAACAAATAACTATTGAGATTGAACTATATAGATTAAGCCTATATCTTGTCAATTTACTAATGATGATTCAAAATGTATAACGACTTAGCAAAACAACACAAAATTCATTATCAACCCCTTTCAATCTTCATAAGTTTTTGCGTCATCAAAACGAACAAATGTTGGAATATTCGTTCGTTTAGAAATAATTCTTAGTTGCGATTTCTAATATCCGTTTTAGCTCTAAGAATATAGTAGTTGTACCAATTTCACGATATACTGCGTAAAAGTGTGTATACTATTGAACTGTATGAAAAGCGGATTTCATGCAGTACAATTAAAATTTCGGACATTACATATCAATGATAATAAACTCAAATATAAACATGGAAATTCTTGAAGGAATTCCTAGAAATATAATACCAATTCATTAATTACACATATCTCCAAAATTTGTAACTGTCTTATCAGGAATGAAAATATTTTCCTAGAAGCAATCACATATGCTAATTCCGAATCTGAAGTCAAATTTGGTCGTTTTTGTAACAATCTCACAATTTTGATATACAAAACGCAAAAAATGGTAAAATTATCGATTATTCCTTCTCTATTTTAAACGGATGATCAAAATTGAGGGTACTTGAGAATAACAGGGTATTTCTGTCACATTATATAATCAGTTCTCTGTATAGCCGAAATTGGTAATTTTACGAAGGAATACAAAAATATGCATAATAATTAAACAAATAAATTTCAAAATGCATGTTATTGTTATAGGGGCCGAATGTTCATAATAAAATACAAAGAGATAATTGGTTGAATTTCATCGAAAGAGATATAAATAAGTTTGTCGAAAATGTCAGATTCTGATCAACTACAATATTACATTGAATCTTTATATGTACATCATTTCAGGTATTTAGATAAGTCCATCGCAACTAGCATGCATTATGTCGCTGTTTATGCAGGGTTTTATAGTTTAGATAATAAATGCTCATATTGTTAGAATTAGTAAATAACTGAGAAAAAATGGAAGATTATAATGATTATAAGTCGTAATAGATACATGTTTGATGAATAAAAGGAGGTTCATGTATGTATATTTTATAATCAGTTAATTCTCACCACTTCCCACTATGCTTCTCTTCAATTATTGACATACTTATTGTCACTTTGACAATGACATGAGTCAGCATAAAAGTTTTACATAGAATTCGGTGGTGTCGATCTTTTGATTATGCAAATTAGTCTCTAAAGGTTATTTGTATATTCAAAAATCAAAAAAGAAATTGAACATAATATGCTCGCAAAAGAAAAAGCGCCTAGAAGCTTATTGAAGGAAATATCGTAAGTTAATGGTGACTATTTCAAATGCATTAGTGACCAAGTCTGACTAGGCAATTCAAATTGGAAAATTAAGTACATAATATTTACTAAATTCCTATAGTTGGAATGTTGATACTCTCAAGACCATCGGATACTCACACAAAACAATTGAATATGCCATACTAGAAGTGTACTAACCTCAGTGAGGATTAGATGTGTAAATATCCTAATTGAGGATAAACTAGATGGGTAATATGATTGAAGATTAACTAGATCTGTAGTTAACCTCAATGAAGATTAGGTAGTTGGGTACCTAACCTCATTACTCAAACTATTAAAATAATAGTTTTCAATTGCTTTGGTCATGTTTGAATATTGTTTAGTATTGTTGAACTGATGATTTATTCGAAACTAACCGTAGAATTGTCAAATGAAATCAAATATACTCTCCAACATTAGTCTGAGTAGTTAGACTGAATAATTAATAATTAAAATGGTAAGAATACATCTAAATCCTACCCTTGTTGAATGTAAGAAAGATAGAATTGATTAGAAAGAGATTTTTCAAAAACAACAATGTAAGACATGAACCAATCATTGGAACATGCAATGCTAGTGTCTTAATGGATTAAAATGCTATTTTCTGACATTATAACATACCAAAAAATTAACCACGCTAGCTGCGTTTAAGCTAAATGTTATACTATAGCTGTTAGCTTGTGCGTTGCAGGCGTGGCTATGGCCGGACAACGTTTGGACATATATAACAGGCATTAGATTTATGTTTACACTGAGCTGTATTGTTTCGCAGAGTAGGAATCATTTACGTATTTTCGGGTTGGGTTTGGTTCGGTTCGGGTTCGATGTTGAACAGTTATAAAATTCCAGTCGTAGATCGTGAATTACAATTTGGTAAAATAATATCTAGAAAGAAAATATTGGTAACAAAAAAGTTGATGTTATTTAATGGAACAAGTTTTCGACCTAAAATGTAAGAACATAAAGTTGAAACCGGATTTATGTATCAAAGTATGAATCTAAATTGCATAAAATATGGTATCTCTTCATGTGGATTCTAAATAGCAATTTTAGAGAGAAAAATGTTGATTTACAAAAAATATATTACATTTGCTATTAGCCAATACTTTTTGAGATATTTTAAAATTTATCTTATTTTTTGCTTATGATTGCCATCTAAAGAGTAAATGTAAAAATATTAGTGAATACAAAGTTGACTATGGCGGAACTACTAGCACAAAGTTTAGAGTCAACGGACTCATAGTTAGTTATAGCCGCATCTAACACAAACACATTTCCTTCGTAACACAGGAATGTGTCCACATTCCATTCATACTAACGATTATTTTCAAATTAGTGAAATAGCACATGCTTTGGAAAAGAATTGTGGCATTACAGATTCTAAAACACAGTTGGCAGATTTCTACAGGTAATGGATTTTGCAAGCCTTAGTCGACTGATGTTCAAATGTTGAGTGAAAGAAACAGGCTTTACCGTATTGAATGAGACAAGAGAATATACTCATGTATCCGCGATTCAGGCAACTACAAATCGAATATGGGAAACTTCGCTAGTTACATTAAATGGAATATGGAAGCAAGTGAATTTGTAAACTGTCAACAGTGATAGAGCAAGCAGATTGAAGGACACACCGTCGAAATTTTGGTCATTTTAAGCCAAATTTGTATAAATGAGTTGATTATATAGAAACATACTCACATGTATTGTAATCATTCCTACATTGAAATTTTGGAGATCCGAGTATTCTAGAGTGAGTTGTGACAATTTTGTGAGGTAAAATGGTTAAAAATAGTCATTTCAAAAATTTTCGAATTCTCTTCATTTTGGACATTTTTAGCAAATAACTCTCCTATATAATGTTTATAATTATATTTATATATTAAGGGTCCTGCTGGTCTAGTGAGAAGAACAACTTCCCACAAAGGAGCAGTGCATGGGTTCGAATCCTTAAGCAGGACTCACTTTTGTCCTTCAGAATTTTGTCAGCTGATTTATTTACCCCCTGCTTGATTGGAGATTATTACACCTTTTGACTGATTTATTGTTGTTTATTAATAGTCAAAAATAAGGTAGTGTCTCAAGACAAGGCATAGCTTAACTGATAAGTCCTAGCGGGACGAAACACTAATATAATATGTATATATTCAAAGAATAAACTTTATGAATCTTTAACTTTAATTATCGCAAAACGGTGTTCTCGCCACAGGAAAGATTTTCATAAAAGTATGAGTATTCCTCAAGCTCTGAATCGTATTTAGTAGCAATAATATGATGTTATCTACATAATTGACTAGAATAGGAATGAATGAAAGAATAGTTTCTGTTAAATTATCATTTTGGCTACGTGGACTCTCGTTTTTGGAGATTTTTCGTCGTCCCGACTTGGAGGGATATAAAACATTTTTGAGTAACGGACACCACTGAAGCTAGTCAATTCTTTTGAACTATATATGGTTATTATGTAGTTACAATTATAGCCCTTAAGCTGTAATAACTTTTCCTGGAAAATTCTTGATGTGTCCCGAACTTTAATGTTACGTCTATGAGAGGACTTTTGCCCCTTTTTCAATCACAGACCTTAAGATACACTAGATACAATGTATTATATCCTAAATATGTCTTAGTTTGGCTAGTCTAACAAGCATGCAGACAAAAACGGGTATATACCCGGTATGTTTCGAAGATAGCCCATACCGTAATAGAAAATTCAACCGGCGACTCCTTAATTCATTGTCAGGGTAAATTATGATACAGAATAATGATCCAAGACCAACTTCAAGGATTGCAAAGGAGTGGATGGAGAAAAATATACAGAAATAGAAGAGAGCGTTCAAGCCAGAGTCAAGTTCTCTATCCAATTGAGAATACAGTTGGTTGAACCAAAAACATGTTGCATAGTGACAACTATACTAGTCTGACACAACTTGAAAAGAGGATTCAAGGAATTAGGAATACTATTATTCAGTAGTTTCTAGCACCATATACAAATCAATGCTTAAAAGGTATAGATTAGTAATAGAGAACAATGCATCGAAAATAATCAGTAGTTAAAAACACATGCATAATTGATCTCCTTGATAGCGTACCGTAGGATCATGAAAATAATAATATCCTAATTATAGTAGCATCAATAATTATAGACAAACCTGATTTTCATCAACTTATATAGATCAAAAGCAAATATTTCATAGTCCTCACTTTTCTAACCAAAAATATATTACATTATGTAATGTAATAATTGTAGAGTGTGCTCTCCATATTTTGTTTATGAAGCTAATGGACTCTGCACAGGGCTGGTTTCTGTTATCCGGTTAACCGACGCTATACTCAGTTAACTGTTGGAAACAAATATATTCGGTTAACCGAATAGCATCATTGCTAACAATTTATCAATAATTTTCAAGGTTTCAACTGGTAAGAAAATAACAAATATACGAATTCTGCTAGGTAGGTATTTCTGAGATTCACAATTAGGGCCACCATTACTAAATATCCTTAGTTGTTTTCGGTTGATACAATCGCATCACGATTGAATACATACTTACTATGTATTGATACTTTCAATTTTAGTTACAAAACTTCATTACAAACTTGAAAAGAATCACAAAGGAATCTACAATCCTCTGAAATATATAGCAGAGTGATAAATTCAGGTACAAATCAATGTAAACAATATAAATAGGGCAGCTTAGGACCTGATTTGAACATCCCAAACAGAACCTTTTCAAAATATGACGCACAACAAATAATCTTGCTGCTTTCAAAATGATCTATTAACACGATTGTAATAGATCGACCTCCGCGATGCCTCGATTTCCCTAATATTTCCTATTATTTAACATGAATACATGAAATATCGTCTGTATGCTAATTATTAATTTATTGATTCATTTAACGTATGGCATAGATCTCGGTAGCTGACCCAAATATTCACGCAAAACGCGAGAAAATAGTTAATTTAAATATTCTATATTTCCCACATCTTACAATTAATCCAGAAAAGTAATCGTTTGAATGGGAATTAGGTCTTATGCCAAGGGTGCTCATATCGTGGCACGCGGACCACGTGTGGCCTGCAAGAACATTCACTATGGCCACAGATAATTCGCTTGTTTTCATTATTCACATATAAACAAAGGGCTTTCAATTAGTTCGTAACCTTAGCTATTGCTATTATTGTTCAACCACATGTTTTTACTATTTGCATCAAATTTATAGCTTAGATTTTCGTCTATTTAGAACACTTTACTTTGAGGAGATTGGTCTAATAACTTTTGAGATACACCCTTTTGAAGATAGGTTAAAGCAATCACAAATGAATTTATTGCTTCAAAATCTTATGAATTTCTACTTGAACAAAGAGCATACATCAAACTCCACTCATTCCTCGACCACACTCCAAGGAATATCCACCAACACTTAGTACAGGTATATGGTGTGCATGCCTGTTCGGAATCAACCGTTAAAAAGTGGAGTTTTTGTTTCCGTGAAGGTAGAGTGTTGGTTGAAAATGACCTTCGGATGGGGCAACCTATAATTGCTACCACTGTAAACAATATTACTCTTATAACTGAAATGTGTGACTCTGATCCTCATATTACGATAGAGCAGTTAGCTACCAGCCTAACTTTGTCAACGGGAAGTGTTCATGCAATTCTGACCAAGCAATTTGGTATGTCCAACGTTTGCTCACGTTGGGTCCCACATTTGTTGAATCAGACCCAAAAAGAAGATCCAGGAAAGAATTGCAAAAAACTGCTTGAAAAGTATGACCAATGTGATGAGAGGCGACTATTTGAAATATGTACCGATGATGAGTGATGAGAAGTGGACAAGATATTCAGAGCCAACTCGCAAAGAACAGAACAAGGTATGGATTGTAAAAGGGAGATCCCCTCCAGCACTACCAAGACCGGATCATTGGGCTCGCTAATTAACATACACCATATTTTCGATGCACATGGCCCAGCCTGCCAAATCTGTACCCTTAAGGGGCAAACAGTTACTGGACACTTTTATGTACAGTTTTTCTTCCGTAAATCAAAAACAATAGATTGAGCGTCGCCAGCCACGGATCTCAGAGGAATCAAAATTTTGCATGATAATGCCAGACCGTACAAATTAAAGGAAGTTAAGGAAAACATTGCTTCCATAGGTCTTAAGGAATTGGAACATCCACCATATAGCCTTAACTTAGCACGGTGCGACTTTTGGCTCTTCGATGGGCTCAAAAAGCACCTAGCAGGTACAGTTTTGGAGAACAGATGCAAATTGGAAGGGTCATCCAATGGTGCTTCAGAGGCATACCACAAGAAGAGTATAATAAAACATTTTTCAAGTGGATAGAGCGTTTAAAGCCTGTAGTTGAGCACAAGGGAGACTACCTTGAAAATTTATAGTAGAATTTGTGCCTTAGCTCACTTAAATAATATAAATATTCTAATATTTACGAATTAAATGAATACCCGTTGTATATACAGTAAATTCACGTGCTTCAATTGTCAGATAAAAATTATTATTCTAAACACAATACAGAATAATGATAGATAATCTACAATTGCATTTATGTTCCGAGTATGAATAAAGTATCGGTAACTCTAGTTAGCATTTAGAATTCTATCAATTATTAGAGCCTCAAAAGTATAAGCATAACGTAGGATACAGAACCTAAATTGAAATGGCGAGATTTTTTTACATTGTTATTCTACTATGGACAATACATAGTATACCCTAAATCTAGGTTTAGTACTATTGTCCACTTGCTAAAAAACGAGCTGATTTCAAAATAAACATCAAATGATTCGAAACCATTGAAAAGATTATGATTTAAGTCAATAACCTGAATTTATAAGTAGAATACATTGTTAAGCAATATGAGGTCAATTTCTATAGCTTGAAATTGATTTCTAAAGTTAGAGGCGATATATTATTTGTGGCCCGTAATGCGAGCCCAATTTTAAAGTGGCCCGTAGATTTACAAGTTTGAGCACCCCTGTCTTATACGATATTCTATTGAGTGGGAATTAGGTTTTTGCCCCAAACTATCACATGTATCTGTTAGGCTACATATAGAAACAAACAATTATAATTATGTTTGGTAAACCAGTCTTGAATTATGTTAAGTTTCTTTTACCAATTTTAGAACTCAATCGCAACTCCATACTTACGAGTGATTCAAACTTCCAACGATAATGCGGCCTTCAGACCCTAAGCTGGATTACTATGCAAGTACCAGACAAGCTGGAAGTATTTACAATTGTAATCAAAAAATCATTTGCTGCTAGATCGGATTACTCCAATAATCTAGGTATTTAAGTGAGGAATCTCAAATTGGTAGGGCAGACAAAACAAATCTTTGAACAAGAAACACTGAACATAGTCAATGGTACATAATTGGCGACATTACTTGGTCAAAGAATAATGCTCTAAAGCATGATTATTACCGCCACTACCATCAAATTGCCTACGGCCACAAAGAATAGAACCATCAGTTAGATTCAGCCATAAATTCTCAGTCATCTGACACTTTGAACACTTCCATCCAGATGGTAGAATTCTTTCAACACAGCTTAGTTGAATTAACGTTTCTGAGTGCTTTGAAACAAAAAGTTTCTGCTCCCAAGAGTCGAAAGAATCAATCTTGTCAGCAGAGGTATTATCTGAAAATAGAAATGATAAATAAATACATTAGCAAATAATGTCCCATACAATGATAATGAATAATATATGGAATGCAATAGATTACAAATAATTGTGCAAATCTTTTGAACTGAAAATTCCAATAAAATTCAGACAATTCAATGAAATAGATACAAATATGAATTCAATTATAACAAAGTATGACAAGTTGACTGAAAGGTAACCACAAAGACATTAAGCTAAATTTGCTTTGATCACCACTACATATACAATTGTGCTTATGCGAATTTACCTATATACATACGATAATATATCAATTT